GGGTATTGGGATGGGTTCTTCATGTCCCTATGGGGGTATTGGGATGGGTTCTTCATGTCCTTATGGGGGTATTGGGATGGGTTCTTCACGTCCCTATGGGGGTATTGGGATGGGTTCCTCATGTCCCTATGGGGGTATTGGGATGGGTTCTTCATGTCCCTATGGGGGTATTGGGATGGGTTCTTCATGTCTCTATGGGGCACTGAGATGGGTCCTTCCTGTCCCCATTGGTGGCATTGGGATGGGTCCTTCCTGTCCCCATGGGTGGCACTGAGCTGTGTCTCCTCCTTTCCTCATGGCTGACACCCAGATATCCATCCCTTCCTGGCACCCAATGTCCCTGTCCCCATGGGTGACACATAACCATATCCTCTGTCACCCCCCAGCCCCCTGCATCCCTATCCCTATGGGTGACACTGAGCTGGGTCCCCTCCAGTCCCCATGAGTGACACCAGCCCTGTCCCCTCCTGCATCCCTGTCCCCCATGGGTCACCCTGGCCATACCCCACATCCCGTCCTCATCGCCCCACAAGTCCCCATGGGTCACAAACACCCTTTGGGGGGGGGGGGGGGGTTGAGCATCCTTTTGGGTGGGACGAGCACCCCTGGGGACCGCGGTGTCACCGTGCCCCCATCCCGCAGGGCCTGACCAACGCGCGGGCGGCCGAGATCCTGGCTCAGGACGGCCCCAACGCGCTGACCCCCCCCCCGACCACCCCCGAGTGGGTCAAGTTCTGCCGCCAGCTCTTTGGTGGCTTCTCCATCCTGCTCTGGATCGGCGCCATCCTCTGCTTCCTGGCCTACGGCATCCAGGCCGCCATGGAGGACGAGCCCTCCAATGACAACGTGAGGCCCTGGGGCAGTGACACTTGGGGGGGGCACCTGCACCCTTGGGGGGGGGAATGGGTGTCACTGGGCATGGGCACCCTGGAGTGGGCATAGGAACACTTGGGGGGCATCAGCATCAGTGGGTATGGGCATCCTTGGAGAGGGACATGGGTACCACTGAGCATGGGCATCCTTGAGGGGGATATGGGTACCACTGAGCATGGGCACCCTTGAGTGGGCACAGGAACACTTGGGGGGCATCAGCATCAGTGGGTATGGGCATCCTTGGAGGGGGACATGGGTACCGCTAAGCATGGGCATCCTTGAGGGGGATAAAGACCCTTGGGGACATGGGTACCACTGGGCATGGGCATCCTTGAGGGGGATAAGGACCCTTGGGGGGCATCAGCATCAGTGGGTATGGGCATCCTTGGAGAGAGACATGGGTACCACTGGGTATGGGCATCCTTGAGAGGGATAAGGACCCTTGGGGACATGGGTACCACTGGGCATGAGCACCCTTGAGTGGGCACAGGAACACCTGGGGGGCATCAGCATCAGTGGGTATGGGCATCCTTGGAGGGGGACATGGGTACCACTGGGCATGGGCATCCTTGAGAGGGATAAGGACCCTTGGGGATATGGGTACCACTGGGCATGGGCATCCTTGAGGGGGATAAGGACCCTTGGGGATATGGGTACCACTGGGCATGGGCATCCTTCAGGGGGATAAAGACCCTTGGGGACATGGGTGTCATTGGGCATGGGCACCCTTGAGTGGGCACAGGAACACTTGGGGGGGCATCAGCACCAGTGGGTATGGGCATCATTGGAGAGGGACATGGGTACCACTGAGCATGGGCACCCTTGAGGGGGCACAGGAACACTTGGGGGGCATCAGCATCAGTGGGTATGGGCATCATTGGAGAGGGACATGGGTACCACTGGGCATGGGCATCCTTCAGGGGGATAAAGACCCTTGGGGATATGGGTGTCACTGGGTATGGGTATCCTTGAGGGGGATAAGGACCCTTCGGGACATGGGTGTCACTGGGCATGGGCACCCTTGAGTGGGCACAGGAACACTTGGGGGGCATCAGCATCCATGGGTATGGGCATCCTTGGAGAGGGACATGGGTACCACTGGGCATGGGCATCCTTGAGGGGGATAAAGACCCTTGGGGATATGGGTACCACTGGGCATGGGCATCCTTGAGGGGGATAAGGACTCCTGGGGACATGGGTATCATTGGGCATGGGCACCCTTGGGGGGCACGGGGGTCCCTGGGCCATGGGCACAGTGGGGCTCACAGCACCCCTGGGTCCCAGCTGTACCTGGGGGTCGTCCTGGCCGCCGTTGTCATCGTCACCGGCTGCTTCTCCTACTACCAAGAGGCCAAAAGCTCCAAGATCATGGACTCCTTCAAGAACATGGTGCCCCAGGTAGGACCGGGGTGGGATGGGGATCACCCAGTGCGGTGGTGGTGGTGGTGGGTGGGGGGGTCCCTGGTGGGGCAGGGGTCCCTCAGGGCGCTCTGTGCCCGTCAGCAAGCGCTGGTGATCCGCGAGGGCGAGAAGATCCAGATCAACGCCGAGAACGTGGTGGTGGGCGACCTGGTGGAGGTGAAGGGGGGGGACCGGGTGCCGGCCGACATGCGCATCATCTCCTCCCATGGTTGCAAGGTGGGTGATGGGGTTGGGTGGCCGGGGGTCCCCAGGACCTCCCAGCACCCATTTCTGCTGTCTCAGGTGGACAACTCCTCGCTGACGGGCGAATCGGAGCCGCAGACGCGCTCGCCCGAGTTCACCCATGAGAACCCGTTGGAGACGCGCAACATCTGCTTCTTCTCCACCAACTGCGTGGAAGGTGGGTCCGGGGGGTCCCTGCCCCATAGCGATGCGTGTGGAGGGGGGCATCACCATCTCCATCACCCATCTCCATCGCCGTGGTGCCTAAACCCAGGCACCGCCCGCGGCATCGTCATCTCCACCGGGGACCGCACGGTGATGGGGCGCATCGCGTCGCTGGCGTCGGGGCTGGAGGTGGGCAGGACGCCCATCGCCATGGAGATCGAGCACTTCATCCGCCTCATCACCGGCGTGGCCGTCTTCCTCGGCGTCTCCTTCTTCATCCTCTCGCTCATCCTGGGCTACACCTGGCTCGAGGCCGTCATCTTCCTCATCGGCATCATCGTGGCCAACGTGCCCGAGGGGCTGCTGGCCACCGTCACCGTACGGGCCCCTGGCGATGGGGGGGGGGGTGGCACTGGGAGGGACTGGTTTGACTGGGGCGGTGCAGTGCGGGCACTGGTTGCACTGGGAGGGAGGGAGTGGGAGCTGGTTCTACTGGTGCACCCACCCATGGTCCCTGGTGCACCCTAAGCCCTATAGGTGTCCCCTGAGCCCTATGGGTTCCCCTGAGCCCTATCGGTGCCCCCTGAGCCCTATGGGTTCCCCTGAGCCCTATGGGTTCCCCTGAGCCCTACAGGTGCCCCCTGAGCCCTATGGGTTCCCCTGAGCCCTATCGGTGCCCCCTGAGCCCTATGGGTTCCCCCAAGCCTTATGGGTGCCCCCCTGAGCCTAAGGGTGCCCCCAAGCCCTATGGGTGCTCCCTGAGCCCTATGGGTTCCCGGGAGCCCTATGGGTGACCCCTGAGTCCTATGGGTTCCCCCAAGCCCTATGGGTTCCCCTGAGGCCTATGAGTTCCCCCCTGAGCCCTATGAGTTCCCCTGAGCCCTATGGGTTCCCCTGAGCCCTATGGGTTCCCCCAAGCCCTATGGGTTCCCAGGAGCCCTATGGATGCCCCCTGAGCCCTATGAGTTCCCCCAAGCCCTATGGGTGCCCCCCAAGCCCTATAGATGCCCCCTGAGCCCTATGGGTTCCCCAAGCCCTATGGGTGCCCCCCGAGCCCTATGGGTGCCCCCTGAGTCCTATGAGTTCCCCCCTGAGCCCTATGAGTTCCCCCAAGCCCTATGGGTTCCCCTGAGCCCTATGGGCTCCCTGGAGCCCTATGGGTTCCCCAAGCCCTATAGGTGCCCCCTGAGCCCTGTGGGTGCCCCCAGGTGTGCCTGACGCTGACGGCCAAGCGCATGGCGCGCAAGAACTGCCTGGTGAAGAACCTGGAGGCGGTGGAGACGCTGGGCTCCACGTCCACCATCTGCTCCGACAAGACCGGGACGCTCACGCAGAACCGCATGACCGTGGCGCACATGTGGTTCGACAACCAGATCCACGAGGCCGACACCACCGAGGACCAGTCGGGTGGGTGCTGTGCTCAGCACCCTGACCCCAACACCCAACCCCAACACCCAACCCCAACACCCTGACCCCAACACCCAACCCCAACATCCAACCCCAACACCCAACCCCAACCCCCAGCCTCAAACACCCAACTCCAACACCCAGCCACAAACACCTAACCCCAACACCCTGACCCCAACACCCAACCCCAACACCCAACCCCAACACCCTGACCCCAACACCCAACCCCAACACCCAACCCCAACACCCAGCCACAAACCCCAAACCCCCAACACCAACACCGTGACCCCAACACCCAACACCAGCACCCTCACCCCAACACCTTGACCCCAAACACCCAGCCCCAAACACCCAACCCCAACACCCAGCCACAAACCCCAAACACCCAACACCAACACCAGGCCACAAGCACCCTGACCCCAAACACCCTGAGCCCAACACCCAACCCCAACACCCAGCCACAAACCCCAAACACCCAGCACCCAGCCACAAACACCCAACACCAACCCCCTGACCATAACACCCAACCCCAAACACCCTGATCCCAACACCCAGCCACAAAAACCCAACCCCAAACACCCGGACCCCAACACCCAACTCCAAACACCCAACCTCAAACAACCAACACCAACACCCTCACCCCAACACCCAGCCACAAACACCCAACCACAAACACCCTGATCCCAAACACCCAGCTCAAAAAACCAAAACCCAACCCAAAACACCCTGACCCCAACCCCCAACCCCAAACACCCAACCCCAAGCACCTCAACCCCAAACACCCAACCCCAAACACCCTGACCCCAAACACCCAACCCCAAACACCCTGACCCCAAACACCCTGACCCCAAACACCCAACCCCAAACACCCTGACCCCAAACACCCTGACCCCAAACACCCAACCCCAAACACCCTGACCCCAAACACCCAACCCCAAACACCTCAACCCCAAACACCCAACCCCAAACACCCAACCCCAAACACCCTGACCCCAAACACCCAACCCCAAGCACCTCAACCCCAAACACCCTGACCCCAAACACCCAACACCAAACACCCTGACCCCAAACACCCAACCCCAAACACCCAACCCCAAACACCTCAACCCCAAACACCCAACCTCAAACACCCAACCCCAAACACCTCAACCCCAAACACCCAACCTCAAAAACCACAACCCCAAACACCCAACCCCAAACACCCAACCTCAAACACCCAACCCCAAACACCCAACCTCAAACACCTCAAACCCAAACACCTCAACCCCAAACACCCAACCTCAAACACCTCAACCCCAAACACCCAACCCCAAACACCCAACCCCAAACACCCAACCTCAAACACCCAACCCCAAACACCCAACCTCAAACACCTCAACCCCAAACACCCAACCCCAAACACCCAACCTCAAACACCCAACCCCATGAACACCCAACCCCAGGAGCCCCCAACCCTTCCCTGCCCCTGTTCCCACCCTTCACCCCCCATGAGCACCCCAGTGGAGCTCTGGGGGTTCCCCTTGGTGCTGATGGGTCCCCCAGGTGCCACCTTCGACAAGCGCTCGCCGACCTGGGCGGCCCTGGCGCGCATCGCGGGGCTCTGCAACCGCGCCGTCTTCAAGCCAGGCCAGGAGAACATCTCCATCTCCAAGGTGGGTGCTCTGGGGGGGTGCCCCCCCCCCCCCCCGCCCCAACCCTATGGGGGTCCCCATGGCTATCTGCGCCCCACACAGCGGGACACGGCGGGGGACGCCTCGGAGTCGGCGCTGCTCAAGTGCATCCAATTGTCCTGCGGCTCTGTCAAGAAGATGCGGGACAGGAACCCCAAAGTCACCGAGATCCCCTTCAACTCCACCAACAAGTACCAGGTGTGGGGTGTGTGGGGCAGGGGGGGGGTGATGGTGGCTGCGGTGGCCCCGGGGCAGGGCGGTTGTGGCATCCGTATCCCTATGTGCCGTAGCTCTCCATCCACGAGCGGGAGGAGGACCCCCAGGGCTACCTGCTGGTGATGAAGGGAGCCCCCGAGCGCATCCTGGACCGCTGCTCCCGCATCCTGCTGCAGGGCCAGGAGGTGCCGCTGGACCAGGAGATGCGGGAAGCGTTCCAGAACGCCTACCTGGAGCTGGGGGGGCTCGGGGAGCGCGTGCTGGGTGAGCAATGGGGACTATGGGGCACAGGGTGTGGGGAATGGGGGGGGGGGGGAAGGAGGACGGAGGGGCGATAGGGGAGAAGAGGGTGCGGATGTGGAGGGCATAAGGGTGGGGGGACGTGGAGGATGGAGGGATGGAGGGATATGGTGATGTGGAGGGCATAGGGACATGGGAGAAGTAGGGACACAGGGACATGGAGGACATGAGGATGTGAGGACATAGGGACACAGAGGACACAAGAATGGGAGGACAGAGGGACATGGAGGACATAGGGACATGGAGGACATAAGGGTGGGAGGACAGAGGGACATGGAGGACATGAGGATAGGAGGACATCAGGACATGGAGGGCATCGGGACATGGAGGACAGAGGGACATGGAGGACACAAGGATGGGAGGACATAGGGACATGGGAGGACATAGGGACATGGAGGACATAGGGACATGGAGGACAGAGGAACATGGAGGACACAAGGATGGGAGGACATTGGGCCATGGAGGACATAGGGATGGGAGGACATAGGGACATGGAGGACATAAGGGTGGGAGGACAGAGGGACATGGAGGACATGAGGATAGGAGGACATAGGGACATGGAGGACACGAGGATGGGAGGACATAGGGACATGGAGGACACAAGGATGGGAGGACAGAGGGACATGGAGGACATAAGGGTGGGAGGACAGAGGGACATGGAGGACATGAGGATAGGAGGACATAGGGACATGGAGGACACGAGGATGGGAGGACATAGGGACATGGAGGACACAAGGATGGGAGGACAGAGGGACATGGAGGACATAGGGACATGGAGGACACAAGGATGTGGACACATGGAGGAAATGGAACACGTAAGGGTGCTGGGATGTGAAGGACCTGGGGATGAGGTGGACACGGGGCCATGCTGTGAGGTGGCAGAACTTGGGGACATGGGGCACATAGGGATGGGTTGTGGTGAGGATGAGGGGGAAGAGGGTGCCATTGGGGGCCATTGGGTACCACTGGGTATCATTGGGTGCCATTGGGTGCCATTGGGTACCATTGGGTGCTACTGGGTGCCATTGGGTATCATTGCATGCCATTGGGTGCCATTGGATACCATTGGGTGCTACTGAGTGCCACTGGGTGCCATTGGGTACCATTGGGTGCCATTGGGTAACATTAGGTACCATTGGGTGCCACTGGGTGTCATTGGGTACCATTGCATGCCATTGGGTGCTGTTGGGTGCCCTTGGGTGACATTGGGTAACATTAGGTACCATTGGGTGCCACTGGATGGCATTGGGTGCCGTTGCATGCCATTGGGTGCCATTGGGTACCATTGGGTGCCATTGGGTAACATTGGGTACCATTGGGTGCCGTTGGGTAACATTGAGTGCCGTTGGGTGCCATTGGGTGCTACTGAGTGCCACTGGGTGCAATTGGGTACCATTGGGTGCCATTGGGTAACATTAGGTACCATTGGGTGCCACTGGGTGTCATTGGGTACCATTGCATGCCATTGGGTGCTGTTGGGTGCCCTTGGGTGACATTGGGTAACATTAGGTACCATTGGGTGCCACTGGATGGCATTGGGTGCCATTGCATGCCATTGGGTGCCGTTGGGTACCATTGGGTGCCATTGGGTAACACTGAGTGCCGTTGGGTGCCATTGGGTAACATTGAGTGCCACAGGGTGCCGTTGGGTGCCATTGCGTACCATTGGGTGCCGTTGGATGCCATTGGGTGCCATTGGGTACCTGGGTACCATTGGGTGCCATTGGGTGCCCTTGCATTCACCACCCCGCAGGGTTCTGCCACCTTTATCTGCCCCCGGACAAGTTCCCGCGCGGGTTCCGCTTCGACGCCGACGACGTGAACTTCCCCACGGACAACCTCTGCTTCGTGGGGCTCATGTCCATGATCGACCCCCCCCGCGCCGCCGTCCCCGACGCCGTCGGCAAATGCCGCAGCGCCGGCATCAAGGTGAGACCCAGAAACCCCCCCACCATGGGGTCACTTCCCCCCCCCCCCCCCCCAAACCGGGGCTCATCCCTCTCTGTGCCCCCCCATAGGTGATCATGGTGACCGGGGACCACCCCATCACGGCCAAGGCCATCGCCAAAGGGGTCGGCATCATCTCCGAGGGCAACGAGACGGTGGAGGACATCGCGGCGCGGCTCAACATCCCCGTCAGCCAGGTCAACCCCCGGTGCGTGGGGGGAGCGTGGGGGGACCCGTGGTGGGTACTACGGGTCCGTGGGCCCCACTGATGCTCGGTGCCGCAGGGAGGCCAAGGCCTGCGTGGTTCACGGCTCCGACCTGAAGGACATGAGCTCGGAGCAGCTGGATGAGATCCTCAAGAACCACACCGAGATCGTCTTCGCCCGCACGTCCCCGCAGCAGAAACTCATCATCGTGGAGGGCTGCCAGAGACAGGTCCCCCCGCGAGCCACCCCATGGCCCCATGGCCCCCATGGCCCCATGGCCCCACCCCATGGTCCCCATGGCCCCATCCCGTGTCCATTGATGTCTCCATCACATGTCCTCTGATGTCCCCATCCTGTGTCCATGATGTCCCCATCCCGTGTCCTCCATGTCCCCATCCCGTGTCCATTGATGTCCCCATCCCGTGTCCTCCATGTCCCCATCCCGTGTCCATTGATGTCCCCATCCCGTGTCCTCCATGTCCCCATCCCGTGTCCTCTGATGTCCCCATCCCTGTGTCCTCTGACGTCCCCGTCCTGTGTCCATTGATGTCCCCATCCCGTGTCCTCCATGTCCCCATCCCATGTCCTTTGATGTCCCCATCCCGTGTCCATTGATGTCCCCATCCTGTGTCCTCTGATGTCCCCATCCCGTGTCCATTGATGCCCCCATCCCATGTCCATTGATGCCCCCATCCCATGTCCTCCATGTCTCCATCCTGCGTCCTCTGACGTCCCCATCCCATGTCCATTGATGTCCCCATCCCTTGTCCTCTGATGTCCCCATCCCGTGCCCATTGATGTCCCCATCCCATGTCCATTGATGTCCCCATCCCGTGTCCTCCATGTCCCCATCCCGTGTCCTCTGATGTCCCCATCCTGTGTCCATTGATGTCCCCATCCCTGTGTCCCACGATGTTCTTACACCCTGCGTTGCTCCATGATGTCCCCATCCCAATGATGTCCCCATGCCCCATGGTTTCAACCATCCCTGTGCCCTGTAGTGCCCCATAGGGTCCCCATGCCCCACAGTGTTTCCATGCCCATAATGTGGCTATGGTGTCCCCATCCCCACTATGTCCCCATCCCTGCTGAATCCCCAGACCCATGGTGTCCCCATGTTGTCCCCATCCCCACTGTCTCCCCATCCCCACTGTGTCCCCATGCCCCGTGGTGTCCCCATGTTGTCCCCATCCCCACTGCCTCCCCAGCCCCATGGTGTTCCTATCCCCACTGTGTCCCCATCCCCATGCTGTCCCCATGGTGTCCCCATCCCCACTGCGTCCCCAGCCCCACGGTGTTACTGTCCCCACTGTGTTCCTACCTCCATGCTGTCCCCATGGTGTCCCCATCCCCACTGCATCCCCATCCCCATGGTGTTCCTGTCCCCACTGCATCCCCATCCCCATGCTGTCCCCATCCCCTCTGGTGTCCCCATGGTGTCCCCATCCCCACTGCCTCCCCAGCCCCATGGCTCCCACCATGCCCCACGCTGTCCCTATGCTGGCCCCATTGTGTCCCCATGCCCCATCCCCGCAGTGCCTGACCCCCCTATCCCCAGAGCACCACCACGCTGTGGATGGTCCCCCCATGTCCCCCCATGTCCCCGTCCCCCCCTCACCCTCCCACCCATGCCCTAGGGCGCCATCGTGGCGGTGACAGGGGACGGCGTCAACGACTCGCCGGCGCTGAAGAAGGCCGACATCGGCATCGCCATGGGCATCGCCGGCTCCGACGTCTCCAAGCAGGCGGCCGACATGATCCTATTGGATGACAACTTCGCCTCCATCGTCACCGGCGTGGAGGAAGGTCCGCGTGGGACCCATAGGGACATCCCCATGGGGTCAAGGGGGAGGTTTGGGATCTGGGGGGGGGGGCACGGGGAGACCCCATTGGTGACCATCCCCGTGGCCTCAGGCCGCCTGATCTTTGACAACCTGAAGAAGTCCATTGCCTACACGTTGACCAGCAACATCCCCGAGATCACCCCCTTCCTCCTCTTCATCATCGCCAACATCCCCCTGCCCCTGGGCACCGTCACCATCCTCTGCATCGACCTGGGCACCGACATGGTGGGCATGG